TCTTCTTGTTCTGCTTCTTCAGCTCCCGAGCCACAGCCTTCTTGCGGAGTAGCCGGAGAGCTTCAAACTGCTTGTCGTAGTCTATGTAGGCTATGAAGTCTTGCTTGAGAGGGCTCGGACGCTTGCGCTTGTACTCAAACTTCCTTCTTTGCTTCACAATCTCTGCAATCTCGCATCGCGAGAAGAGTCCTCGTCGCTCGAGGTCGTCGAGCTCGTCCACCATGCGCTCGAGCTTGTACTAAACCACGTCCGCTATTTTTACACAGAGAGAGAGAGAGAGAGAGAGAGAGAGAGAGAGAGAGAATGAGAGGACTTGTAAGTAAAGAGGATGGAGAGTTGAAGATGGATTGGTGGTGGTGGTGGTTTTGCCTGAGATGGATTTTATGTTTTAACATAGTTTTATGAGTTCAAAATTTAAGTGCCAAAAGATGCCAAATTTAAGTGCCAAAACATAGCTGAGACAGATTTCAAAATTTAAGTGGTAGTTTTGGCGGAAATTTTAAAAATTTCATTTCCCCCCTCCATGTTTCAAATTTCCCTCCCAAACTTTTGGCGACCAAAAGACCATATTAGTCGCAGAAAAGGTACCTTCGTCGACAAACTTTTTTAGTTGCCAAATCTCAATCAACGGCGACTAAAATATTAGTCGCTAAAGGTACTAATTTGGCGACTAATTTTTTTTGGTTGCTGAAAATAAGTTTTTGGCGACCAAATTTTTGGTCGCCAAAAAATATGTGACCTTCCGCGACCAAATTTGTAGTTGGTCGGCAAAAGTGTACCACTTTCTGAGACCAACTCATTTTTTGGTCGCCAAAATATAACCTTCTGCGACCAATAATATTTGGTCGCCAAAAATAATAATCATTCATGACTAATTAATATTTGGTCGCCAAATGTCATTTTTTTGCGACCAAAATTTTTTTGGTCGGCAAAAGTGGTCGGCAATTATGTAAATTCTTGTAGTGGGTGGTGGAATAGAATGATATTGAGTGATAGTTCAAAGGATAAAACTCTTATAGTTAAAAAGGGTATTTTTGTCATTAAGGTTTAAATTGAAAAGAATTAATAGATGAGGGGGGTTAAATGCTACAATTTTTAGTTTAAGGCAATCAACTGAAATGAGACAATAGCTTAGAGGGGTAAAATTTACCCTAATTTTTATTTGTGTAAAATAATTTTTGAAAATTTCCAAAAATAGCTAAAGTGTTTTCTAAGAAAGTAGCTTTATTAGAAACTTTCCCAGACAAAATTTGCCAAACAAGTTCTTCATATTAGTTTCCAATTTTTATCTTCAAAAACAGAAAGTAAAAAACCTAAACAATACCAAGCACACATCAAAGTAACAAAATAATGGTTACCCTAACCCTTGTTGTGAAGCCCCATTCAGCAAACATTGCTTTTAACTACTGAAACTTTCCAGCTAAAACAAACCATTTCTTTCAAGTAATTACATAATTCAAATCAATTACATAAAATTTCAGAAAGCAGAACAGCAGGGTTGTCTGGGAAGCCAATTTTAAGTTTTTTTTGGGCTAAAATTCACAAAAAAGACAAAATAGATTAAAATAATTAATAAGACAAAATGTCACATCAAATCTATAATTATTTTATTTTTTTCTCTTACAAATATCACACCCAACTATAAAAAAAAATTCAACCCTCCTCCCAAACACAAATATGTTAATCTACTAAAATAGCTAAAAACTAAACTAGTCAACTTTCCAAACGAAGCCAATATATTCATGTGTCACCTGCTTCTATGACAAAAGTATTTAGTTAGTGGGAGAAAAAAATCAATATACTTTTAATGTCGCATCAAGATCAACTAGAACATAAATAATAACCGATGGCATTGCATACAACTAGCTGTCCAATGACTCCATGTTAAATAAGTAGAGAATAGGAAAATAAAAAGAAACGAAAAGAGGAAAGTGGAGTGGGGAACAGAAGTGTAAGAAAAAAATGGGTTTTAAAAATAAAAAGGAGGAAGAGATAAAAAAAAATAATAATATAAAATAAATAAATAAATGAGTAAAAATAAAAAGGAGTGGTTGTAAAGTGGTTGCACTACCGTGGCATGTTTGAAAAATAAAAAGGAGGAGGAGATAAAAAAAAATAATAATAATAAATAAATAAATAAACAAAGTAGTAAAAAGAAAGAGTGGGTGTAAAGAAAGAAAAAGAAAAAATGTGAGATGGAGAGTGGGTCACATGGGAGAGAGAAAAAAAAAAAAAAAAACAACACACATATCCATGTGCTCTAGCTTCTCCTTTAGTTGGAAAAAAGGAATTAACACACAGAAGATACTGACAGGGAGAACAACTCACACACAGCACTAGTCTCTCTGTCGGTGGTGTTCATGGAGGAAAAGCAAAAAAATAAAGAAATAAAAGAAGAAAAGTAAAAATGGGTTTAAAAACACGAGAGAGAGAGATAACCCAATCCCTGAGGAGACGACGAAGACGAGAGAGCTGCTATAGTGTGCATCGAGAGAGAGAGAGAAGAAGAAGAAGAAGAAGGATGGGGAAGACACCGGTGAGGATGAAGGCGGTGGTGTACGCGCTGTCGCCGTTCCAGCAGAAGGTGATGCCGGGTCTCTGGAACATAGGTACTGAAGGCATGGGTGAAGTCAAGTGCTTCAAGTGAAGAGCATTTTTTGATTTACTGGCAAATAAGAAGCCTGTTATGATAATTGACTGCAGTTGCTGTCATGGAACTTTTGCAACTTTTATCAATTCATTTCCGAAAGGAAAAATGGGCTGGTTGCTGAATCGATGTCACCAACATAGAATTAACCTATCAGTGCCCTAGCACTGGAACTGTGGCCGACATCCTCAAAATCATCAGTTGCATCCTTGCCTGTTGCGGACAACAAAAAACTCATCACCACCGGGATGGTCCTCCACGCCGGTGTTCTGTTTTCGGATTGCTGGCGTCGCTGCTACATCGGCGACAGATGCGGTGTTTTTTTTTTTTTTTTTTTTTTTTGCTTCGGCAAGGAGGTGTAGTGGGTTTGTTGAAGCTGTTGCTGACTACACTTAGCTGTTGGCGCGTGAACATGGGCCTTGGGACTTCACACAGCTGTTGGTGACTGTTTGTAGGCTGCTATTGTGCCGATGAAAGATGAATCAGCAGGAGAGGTTTCAGTTGCATGTGTTGTGAGAACAAATGGGTTTGAAGTCACTGAGGATGAAATCAAGAAATATATCTCCGAACAGGTGGTTTGAAGTCACTGGTGATACTGCAAGATCTTCTAAGTCCAACCCAACAGTTAATTGGTGATTGGAAAAACACTACATGAAATAAGCAGAGCAAAAATTGACTCTACCAACCAAACATGTGTTACAATCTCTGCCTAAGAAACTACCTATATCAATGCATACAGTATGCGCACGTACTCAAAGACAAACACAAACTGAAGAATTAAATATTAATTCCGAATATGGTTGGATATTCAAGATGATTTTAAAACAAAGGCCTAAATAATCATTTACAATAACAAATGCTCCAAGAACACCTAACCATCTTTGGCACTTAGAGGATGGCAACAGCTAAAATTCATCGACTTTATTTACCAGCAAATACCTTTTCAATGTACCTCAGATTGTGGTAAGAAATTTGTTCTGTTCCTTAGGTTCTCTTTGGATTATAACCCAATATCCCATGTACTAATTTATTCAAATGATGCGTTAGAAATAGACTTTTAACTCAAAATACATTGTAAAATGAATTCTATATCCCCATTAATATTCACACAAAAGTTTGCTAAGTATAGCCCAAGTAATTACCTAACTGACTTTTAATCATCATTGCATACAGATTTCATTTTTGATCTAATATTCTAAAGTCTGCTATGAAGGAAACCAAAGGGCATGTATGGTTTTGCTCACCAGCTAGCAATTTCTCCCCCCTCTTCAGTGAATCCCAAACTTTTCATAATCTTCCTCAAAAAATAAAAACTATTCATAATTATTATCTTCAACTGTTTTTATAATTTGATTACTTTGGCTTAACTACAAGGACACTATTGTGCAACTTGATTCTCTTTTCTTCTTCTTCTTCCTTCTTTCTTTTATTTTATTTTTTTATTTTTTTAATTCAAATATTAGGTATATTTTTTCTGGTGAATTAGTCTGAAATGCATGTGTTGTGATCTATCACAGGTTGACACGCGGTCTGAGAAGGAGAAAGCAATCGACGCTTGGCTTCCAATCACTTCTTCCAGGAATGCAAAATGGTGGTACTCAGCTTTCCACAATGTCACTGCCATGGTTGGAGCTGGAGTTCTCGGTCTCCCTTATGCCATGGCAGAGCTAGGATGGTATGCACGGCCCCTAAACAATTTGTTTTTATTCATTAATAATATAACTCAAATCCTTATTAGTTGAAAATGTATTGCAATGGAAATTAATATATTTGTCAGTCAGTTTAAAGTTTATGGAGGATAACCATTGACTGGATACATATTTAACAAAGCACAATGTTATTGAAATGTTTATTTTTATACCTTTTCATTCTAATAAATTATTCTTTGAAGGGTTCCAAGTCTATCTTTAGAACCTCTACATGTTTTAACCATGGGAATTTTCTTATCTAACAATTGAGGCATATGGCTTTCTATAAAATAACCATTTTCATTTACTTTTCAAGCAAACAAAATTGTAATTCTACATCTACAGGTAAGTGATGCTATATCTTTTGATTTTCAGGGGTCCTGGTGTTTCTGCACTCGTAATATCATGGGTTGTCACTTTATACACCTTATGGCAAATGGTTGAGATGCATGAGATAGTACCTGGAAAACGTTTCGACAGATACCATGAGCTGGGTCAGCATGCATTTGGTGAAAAGCTCGGTCTTTATATTGTGGTGCCCCAACAGCTTATTGTTGAAATCAGCGTGAACATACTCTATATGGTCACTAGAGGAAAGTCACTCAAGAAATTCCACGATGTGGTCTGCAAGGGCTGCTCAAATATCAAGCTGACCTACTTCATCATGATTTTTTCCTCTGTCCATTTCGTGCTCTCCCATCTTCCGAACTTTAACTCCATCTCTGGTGTGTCTTTGGCTGCAGCAGTCATGTCCTTGAGGTACAGCCCCTTCTTCTTCTATGCATTTTCTCATTATTGTTTGCTAGCGTGGAAACTTGAAAGTTATGTCTAAAAATAAAAGGCAGGAAAATAAATCAGAAGACAAAAATACAAGAATCAATATAGTTCAAACACTAGTAGTTGCCACATTGACTGGCTAAGAAAGATGGACTGTTCTAAGAATGTAATGTGTTGCGTCCAACACGATACAACACTTGTCGGACACTTCCAATACTTGGACATACATAAAACATATAACAAGTTTGAATAATTTAACTTGGAATCCAGTGATAAAACAAAACAATTTAAATTTATACCTCTTCTCTTCTTTAGACTTCAAAAATTATTATCTTTGACTAAGATGTTCATATAATAATTATCTATCCTTACATATGATATTTAATAAATATATAAAATTATATATTTTGCATGTATTCCTCACGTGTCATATCTTACATTTTGTAAAAATTCATGTGTCGTGTCTGTGTCATGGATGTTCTTCTTAGTTGATTGAACAAGATTAGTAGGCAGAGAAATGCTGCAATACAGGAGGAAAACCCTCATTCTCAATAGTTCAATGTTTAATATTGAATGGCAAGTACTAGCATGTTTGAGCTTTAATGTTGTCTGTCCTACAGTTACTCTACCATCGCTTGGGCTGCTTCTCTGCACAAGGGTGTGCAACCGCATGTCGAATATGGATACAAAGCTAAGACAACAGTAGGAACAGTTTTTAACTTCTTCAGTGCCTTGGGTGAAGTGGCTTTTGCCTATGCGGGTCACAATGTGGTCTTAGAGATTCAAGCGACAATCCCTTCTACACCTGAGAAGCCTTCCAAGGGCCCTATGTGGAAGGGAGTGATAGTTGCCTACATAGTTGTGGCCTTGTGCTACTTCCTCGTCTCTCTAATTGGATATTGGGTATTTGGGAACAAAGTTGATGACGACATCCTCATCACATTAGAGAAACCTGCTTGGCTCATTGCCATGGCTAACTTGTTTGTCGTTATTCATGTTATTGGAAGTTATCATGTGCAAGCCAAAACTTTATTTGATTAAGTTGTTTCAAACGATTCATCATATTGATCAGTTCTCATGATGTTTCTCTTTCTAATTTTTTGTTATTTTCTGTTGTTTTAGATTTATGCAATGCCAGTGTTTGACATGATAGAAACCGCTCTCGTAAAAAAATTGCATTTCAAGCCAACCATGATGCTTCGCTTTATTACACGAAATATATATGTTGGTAAGTGAATTGTACTCTTTATTCAATTACTGCATTATATGAATAAATTTGTGATTTTCTCGAAGTTGAAGTTACATTTCTCTGATCTGAAGTTAATGTAATTTTTTTTTCTTGCAGCATTGACAATGTTTGTTGCCATTACCTTCCCTTTCTTTAGTGGTCTTCTAGGATTCTTTGGAGGATTTGCATTTGCCCCAACAACATACTTTGTAAGCAACTATCTGACTCTTTGTTATTGAATTGACCTTGTTCAGTGCAGTTTGAGGGATGCTTATAGCTTCTTTTTTTTTAATTTTATTTTAGGAATATGTGCCAAAATAAAAAAATAAAGCAAGTTATAAAAAGGGTGTCATTTAGGCAGTTGACCAAATGGTGTTTCTTTCTTATTTTGCTTTTTTTTTTTTTTTTTTTGGCACCAGGGTATTCGGATCAAAACCCGACTAATCCCCAGGAGTGCACAAGCCCTCGGCAAAGATTTTTCCTCAAGTGCATCACGGTTAATTCAAGTGTTTTCCTCTAGTTCGATGGCCTCAAGGAATTGTTAGCACCTAAGAGATTTCAATCCTGAACCTTCGAGAGAGCACACCCCCAAGACCCAAGGCCTTGCCACCAAGCCAACCCCTTGGGGTTCAAATGGTGTTTCTATAATTTTTTAAAGCTTAAGCTGAAGGAGGGAGATAATAACTTTCTTTTTTGTTCCTTTTTTTACGTGCGATATCTTTAACTTGTGTTTAGATAATCAGTTTTTTTTTTTCTTTCTTTTAAATAAGAATAATATTATTAAAGAAGCATCAAGATGATGCAAAGAACCCAATAACTACAATTAATGAACAAATAAAGACTCAATAATTGTCAGCTTTTAACTTGGCAAACTGCATCAAACCGGGTTTAGTATGGTTTATACAGCAAAGATGATATAATTGTTTAAATATACTGTAATTGTTTTTCTTTCTGCAGCCGCCTTGCGTCATGTGGCTTGCCAGCAAGAAACCAGAGAAGTTTAGCTTGTCTTGGCTTATTAACTGGGTATGACTCTGACTTAAAACTATGCATTGATTTCATTCTTTACCTTACGCTTGGAAGTTTAAAGCTAAATTAATTTTGATTTGGCTTCATCAATTTTCAGATATGCATTATACTGGGTGTTCTTTTGATGATTGTGTCACCTATTGGAGGGCTAAGGCAAATTATAATTCAAGCAATGACCTATCATTTCTACTCTTAAGTCTTAATCAAATCGTCCCACACCAAGAAGAACTGTCACAAATAGTGGAGAAACGAAAATCACAATGATACTTGCAATGGCCATGGAAAAATGGCAGCAACTCATGAAGTAACGAATGGGACCTCAAAAAGAAAATATTGCCCATGGAACCAATAGAAAGCTTCCTAGAGACCTTCATTATTTACACTTATCATTAAATGGTGTGCATATGTATGTCACTTGTTTGTTTTTTTCTCTAAAGCTTCATGTTATTTTTTTGAAGTTTACTATCAGTGGTGAGATAGAAGTAGATTCTATAATAAGGTTGTGCAACTTTGTATTGTGTATGTTGTTGCCACTTTTTCTTTCTTTTTTTTCCCTTCCAAAGTGCAATGTTGTGAGAATAAAATTCAATATTAAATGCTTTCATACATTTTTTTGCAGAAACTACACATCTCTTGCACAATCCTAATTATGTCTCCCCCTGTTGAGATATCAAGTTTTAATACCTATGGCCACATTAGTGTCTCAGGGAACTTTGGTTTCATAATAAAATTGTGTTACAGACGGGTCTTATCAAGTGGGAAACAAGTAAGGCAAAAAAAATTGTTCCTTACAAGAAAATGTGGCTTGAAAAGAGTCAGATGATTATGCATACTGCTCTGTTTGGAATATCAATGATGTCAATCATGTGGTGTTCCAAGGACAACAAAGGTAATTGAAGTCCATGGTTGCCAATATGAGAAACAAAAATACAGAATCAAAGAAACAGGGAACGGAAATGTGAAACATGGTCCAAAAATAGCTAGGTGATTTAAGACAAAAGAATGAATTTAACATTTACAAAATAAACTATTAAGAACTTTAAAAATAGCAATATGAAGATTAGAATACTTTCATAATCAATTACATGACTATTCCCTAGAAAAGCACAAATCTTAAGTGGATACTTCACTATGAAATGACCAAATAGAGGAAATATAGGAAAACCAACCAGAATTGTAACTGGAGCTGCCTGAACTGATACATGTGTTGCTTTTACAGCCTATATCTTTTTCTTTCTCTACTGGACTTGGCTCGAAACAGGAGGCTCATTCACATCAATATCAATATTGTAAATCCATACAAATGTACATTATATAAGGCGATATATCAAATATGGATTGAGATGCAGTAAAGATGCCTGCAATTTTGGTAGCAACCAAATAGAATCGCTAATAACCTTTGCACAAAAATTGCATAGATAAATCACTAAGCCATGATCCGTTTAGTACCTGCAACAGATATGAATAGCGCATTAATTATGATAAACCATACTTGTTTAACAGAAGGCATTCATCTTCATTTTCACAAGGGAATATTGCATCAAAGGTAAAATACCTCTATTTCACAGGGTTTGGCTTTTGCTTGGTTCTTTCGTGTTTCTCGTAAATAGTCATCTAGAAGCTTCCGTAACATGAACAAGGTATTATCACTGAGATCATCAATATAAACTTCAATCTCATCCTCTCTAGCTTCCCATCCATTTGAAATCTGATCCCTCACAAATTCAAAAATATTGTCTGGCAACTCTCCCAGCAAAGCCTCAAAGTCTCTACTTAACTTATGTTTTTCCTCATATGTCATTATTCTCTTTGCACGGCCAGGCATAGCTTTATGTTGCGGTGAAGTAAGTTTTCTTTTTTTTGATGGAGGCATTGGCTTAATAGTCCCCTTTTCTCCATGTACGTCTAATTTTTCTGGTAATGGCTGGGAATCCTTCAGAAGTTTATTCGCAATAACTTTCCATCTTGCTTCAAAAAATTTACTCAAAGTATCAGCAATGATGTGGAAATCATTTCCTGGTGGATTGTAGGTCATAGCATTAGAGGGGATCAAAATCGTCCCCGGCACCCGGAAAGCCTCCACCATGAGGAGAGTTACCCGTCATTTTCAGAAAATCTGCAAAATGAGCAAAAATGAGCGAAAATGAGCCAAAATTAGAAAAAGTCAACAAAAGTCAACTCTCGGGAAATGAAAAGTCAACAAAAGTCAACTCCCGAGAAAATCTTCCAAATATTGAGACAAACTCACCTCAAGTGGCGAAAATAAGAAAAGAAGCTCCGAAACCAAAATTTAATCAGTTCAAAGTGCTTGAAACTGACTATTTTTGCGGAGGGCGTTGGAAAACGCGTATAGAACTCAGAAACTTGCGTGGGGTGTTGAAAAACGCGTATGGAACTCAGATCTGAAGGAGAAAAGAGTTTGGGATGCAAGAGAAGATGACCTCGTGGCTGCATTTATAGGCTCAAAGTGTTTGGGTGAGAGAGCATGAAGAAAAGGAGGTGAAAGGACCAAAATGCCCTCGGATTTGGGCAGATGCCCAGCCGGCCACCTTTTCCAGCCGGCCAGCCATTTCCTTTTTGGAAAACCAGCCAGCCACATCCCACCCTCCATAAACTAGCCGGCCATGTCCCCCACATGCTCACCTAGCTCTCTGCAAATTTTGAGGAAGATCGGAGTTCCCGGGACCTTTACTTTTTGTAAAACCGGCCGGCCAGCCATTCTCTTTTTGTAAAACCAGCCGGCCAGCTCTCATCCCTCATAAAACTAGCCGGCCATGTCCCTCACAGGCTCACCTAGCTCCCTGCAAATTTTGAGGAAGATTGGAGTTCCCGGGACCTGAAAAAGTTCAAGTAAAGTACACTTCCGGTCGCGAAATTGCTCCGCCGGAACTTCAGTTTCAAGTTCTGACATGTGTCTCATCATTATTCATCAAAATCAAGATGTATCCTTTTGAATATGTTGTGGTCTTTCCAGGAAATCGAATCGAAGGCCGTCATCAAAGTCGCCTTCGCCGAAACACGCGTTTCCTTGCTCGTCATTTCGTAACAAACGGGCACCATGATTTATGCTCATTTTGCACTATCATGCACATAACTTGCATTTTCATGAGCATACTTACGTTATTATGCACATTTCTTGATATTGCCATACCTCTGTGCTTGAGCATGCATTGTCACGAACTTTCCTTTCTCGCGTCACGATGCATTCACTCGGCGGCACTGCGTGTGTCAGACTTTCAGAATCACATTAAAAACATGTTGGTAGCATATTGTACTTGTTAAAATTTCTCTCTTTTGCAGGCACGATATTGTATGTACGGTTCAATTGAGGCTGGTGCGACCAGACGAATCGCGCAGGTATCGTATCTTCTCCGTGTGAGACGCGACGAGAATTGAACAATTCTCCGCATTCTTAACTGCATAAAATGTAGTTGTTGCTTTGCATTCTCGCTTAAAACTGTTGCATCTATTTGCGAATACTTGCTTCATTACAGCTTGCTGCATTTGCATGATCATTGAGTTATGTTCGGCTTCTTGCATATCGCTTTGCATTTTGCCCCCCCTGCCTGCGCGGCCCTGCCTACGGGCACATCTCTGTTTTACTTATTGTACGTTGTCTAAGTCTTCAGCTTTAGTCAAAATGGGTCGCTCTGCTGGCTTTGAACATTCACCCGTCACTTATGATTTCCGAGTTCTGTCAAAGAGGGGCAACTGTAGACACCCCATTTTGACCGACCTTAAGACTCAGACGTCACTGATTGAGCGCTTGGTGATGTTGCATAATTGTGCTCGTCAGAATTTCAGAGTCGCAGCCGGATGCCCTACCTCCGGACTTCCGAACCCTCTTTCGTGCTTTGCCTCGGTTTGCGAACCAGGCTCGGTTTTCTTGTTTCTTTTCCTGAGGGGAGGGAGAGGTCCGTAGACCATCTCTCAGTGGCCGTGGGCTACATTTTGGTGGCCGTAGGCCATTTTGCCCATTTCGGGGCCCGGTTCCCGGTTTTCGGAGCCGTCAGGCCGTGTGCCTCGGTTCGGACCGCCTAACCATCTCCGTTTGTTCTGATTTTTGGCATACTTCCTTTCTACTCCCTTTTAAGGGACACTAGGGTCTGAAAAACCCACTTCGTGGCCGAATGCCACTTTCGGTGCTTAACAGCCCATTTTCGGGACCCCCGAGCTGCGCGTTTTGGTCCCCGAAGCATTCGTTTCGCATCGGTTTTCGTTCATTTTTGGCAGGTACCTCTGTTTTATCACTGGAAAGGTCGTAGAAGGGTAGGAGGCTAGCAATTGTTTCAACAACCAGTTTTTGCTCCTCCGGCGCCCTCCGACGCTCGTTTTTCTCACTTCCGAGCTGGTGTTGAACACCCTTGGGCCACTTTCTTGAACTTTGAACCACATATTTGTGATGTACACACATGAGAGGACCCTAAAAGTTGGTGGCTGCCACTAATGTCACCTGACCTTTTGACCCCCCCTAGAAGTGGCTTGTTCTCCCTCCTGTTTAGAGGTTTCCAAATTTGAACCACAGGGTTGTGAAGAGGAGATCTGGGAGGCCACCTTTTTGTGGTGGCCGGCCACTAAAGCAATTTGACCTTTTTGACCCCTAGCCGGCTGGCTAGGGGGGGTGGCTGGCCGGCCACCTGCAGCTCAAAAGGTGGCCGGCCATGTTCCTTGACACACACACTTTACAGCTGTATAGCTGTATCCCCCAGAAAATATCTCAATCCGGGGGATATTTTGTGGGGGAAACTTGCCTCCTTTTCCCCCACCTTTTTCCCCACCTTTACACCCTTTTTTTGTTCCTTATAACCAGCTGGAAGCCTTTGTATTTGGGGTTAGAAAAATTGTCTTCAAGTCTTGCATCCAAATCTCCCTCTATCTCTCTCATTTTCTCAAAAACATCCAAGTTCTACACCTCATTTCTTCATCAACACCAAGCACCACCACCACCACTCCATTTCCAGCAGCAAGGAGGGCTTCTCAGAGGCTAAAGGTGCTGCAACTTGGTCCAAGGAGCAACCAAAGAGTGGTCTACAAGGGTGAGTTGCCATTTCTCCCTGTTTAAGCTTATTTTTGCAACATTTCTTAGCCATATATGCTTTTTGGTTTGAGCTCCGGCAATAACTGAAAGTGGCCTTATTTTGAGCTCTTTTTCACTTTTTCTTAAGGGCTCTGTTTGAGCCCCCCATCTTGCACTTGCTTCAATGTCTTCCTTAAATGCTATTTTCTTGCATGCTTTGGCAGCCTATTGTGCTTCGGTTTTTAGTCTTTTTACAGTACTAGAAATAGTCTTATTTTGGTCCATTCTTCATGTTTTATTAAGGGCCTTTCATGGTTTGGGACCTCCATATGCTACTTCATGTTATATCCCTCCTTGGTCCCCTTTTCTTGCATGCTTTGGCAGCCCATTATGCTTTCATTTTTGGGCATTTTACAGAACTAAAAACAGGCTTATTTTGAGCCCCTATTCAACATTGAAGAAGGACTCAACACTGTTTGGGACCTCCATGCTACACTTGCCTTTATATTCCCTCTTTGGTCCCCATTTTTGCATGTTTTGGCAACCTATCATGCTTCGGTTTTTGGCCTTTTTATAGTACTAAAAATAGTCTTATTTTGGTCCATTATTCATGTTTCATTAAGGTCCTTTGGCTGTTTGATGAATATTTTGTATACTTTGTGTTATAAGCCACTTTTGAGCCTCATTTTGCATTGCATTTCTAGCATGTTTGTGTACTGTTTTGGGGTTTTTACAGTTCTGTAAATGTGCATATTTTTGCTTCCTCTTCAATGTTGTAGAAGGGAATTTTCCAGTTTGGGCTTTGTATATACCACTTGTTTCATTGCCCTCTCTTGGCCCCTATTTTTGCATGCCATTGTTGCCCTATCCTTGTTTGCTGTTTGGCCATGATTTGTACTGGAAAAATACTTATTTTGAGGCTGCCTTGCTTCTGTCTTTTCACTCCATGTACCAATTATGCATGCTTTGTATAGCTGTAGTTCATTCTATGCGCCTAATTTTGCATTTCGAGAGAGATTCCATGCATCGGGTGTGTTTTCGCCTCATTTCGGGGCCGTTTTCCCCCACATTTCATTGCTGAAAATCCATTAGCATGTTTGCATATCATTTTAGCCATATTGCATTGCATATGCCATTACCTCGGTTTGCGTGCCCGTGTGCACGCATTTCGAGGCACTTCATTTCATTCATCGGCCTCTTATGTGAGTGTGGCTGAGGCTCTCTGATGTTAGTGTAAGTCCATGTTGCATTCTATATGCCATTTTAGCCATACTGCACTGCGTATGCCATTACCTCAGTTTGCGTGCCCGTGTGCACGCATTTCGAGGCACTCCATTTTCATTCATCGGCCTCTTATGTGAGTGCGGTTGAGGCTCTCTCATGTTAGTGTAAGCCCATATCCTATTTCCATGTGATTTGCATTGCATTATGTCATTTTCTCGGTTTGCGTGCCCATGTGCACGCATTTCAAGGCATCTCGTTTTTACAGCATAGTGCATACTAGGTTGTATCTTAGATAGCATTTTGTCATTTTCTCGGTTTGCGTGCCCGTGTGCACGCATTTCGAGGTATCTCTTTTTTACAGCATAGTGCATACTAGGTTGTATCTTAGATCGCATTCTGTCATTTTCTCGATTTGCATGCCCGTGTGCACGCATTTCGAGGCATCTCATTTTCACAGCATAGTGCATACTAGGTTGTATCTTAGATCGCATTCTGTCATTTTCTCGATTTGCATGCCCGTGTGCACGCATTTCGAGGCATCTCATTTTCACAGCATAGTGCATACTAGGTTGTATCTTAGATCGCATTCTGTCATTTTCTCGATTTGCGTGCCCGTGTGCACGCATTTTGAGGCATCTCATTTTCACAGCATAGTGCATACTAGGTTGTATCTTAGATCGCATTCTGTCATTTTCTCGATTTGCGTGCCCGTGTGCACGCATTTTGAGGCATCTCATTTTCACAGCATAGTGCATACTAGGTTGTATCTTAGATCGCATTCTGTCATTTTCTCGATTTGCGTGCCCGTGTGCACGCATTTTGAGGCATCTCATTTTCACAGCATA